GCCTGTTCCTTTATTTAAAAGTTCAAGCAGGGAGCTGCGTCAGCACGCGTAGGCTGCAAAGGAAGAGGTAAAGGTATATTCCATGCTGAAAAGAGAAGAGACACAATGTCTTTTCTTTTCAGCATGGACTAAACCTTTGCCTGTTCCATTTTTATTTTACACAGACGCATCCACAAGAAACAGGTTTGCTTCTTTGCTCTCAGCTCGGCCAGCGAGCCCGTTCTCAAACAGAGTTAAATACAGGTTGGCGCTGATGGGAGAGAAAAGCACCACCTTATTTTCCACTGGGTCTGTGCAAACCCCAGCTGCGGGTTCAAAATCCGCTCTATTTATCAGCGAGGTGGTGGTGGGGGGGGCGCAGTTTATTAAGGCTGTTCCTTTGAATTTAAAAAAATCTTAACGATTAGCAGCTACTGGCTTTGCACATTTGGCCTGCATATGGTGAGTACTCTGCGTGCAGTAGGACACAACCAAGTAGTGCTCAGAGGGTCTTTCAGCGCCAGGGAGGGACCTTCACTTGGCAATGCCCAGGACACCTCACAATAAACACCCACACCGAGGAGGACAAAAATAATTTAAGTGGGTTGCCAGTTCTGGATTTTCCATTTTTAATATACTTTTAAAAAGTAGTTCAGGTGGGGAGCTGCATCAGGATGCGCAGGCTGCAAAGGAACAAGTAATAGGTTTGTGACACCTGAAGAAGGCTCCACGGCCAAAACGCTGTGTTTTCTTTCTTCTCTTTTCAGCATGGAATAAACCTATCACTTGTTACTTTTTTAATGTACATGCAGACTATGCTATGAACTCTCAGTCCAGTTAACAGCTCTGTCTTGTATATTTTCTGCGTGAACACGGAGAGTCAGACCGGCCAGGGGCTGGAGAGTTTAAGCTCAGAAGGTTAAACTCTCCCTGCACAGGGTTCGTTGCTGAAACTCCGTGTGTACGCCAAGCCCAGGCAGCTGAGGTTTATTAAACGAAAAAGCAATGCTTTTATTCGAATTTGTTTTATGAGAGTTCACATCCTTCCTGCAACTTGAGAGCAGCTCGCACATCTCAGGCTGTGTTAATTGCGGTGTGTGGCGGTGATGGCTGACTCGCACATGACCTCCGAGATCCCACAGAACCCCCGAGCCTGAACATCTGGGACAAAGCAGAGCCGACGTGTGTCGAATTCCACAAGCAAAACTTCAATGGGACCCCTAATCCCTACTACAGGGGGTCAAAGAAACGCCAATCCAAATCAACCACAGGACAAGATGTCTGGCTGCCTCTCACAGCTGTTCGCTTACTTCTGCCTGCACATTAATAATGAAATTAAGGCCGTGCCAGCAAATTCTTCCAATTCAGGGTCGAGGGGGAGCCTAGCAAAGGGAATACCCAGGGTACACCCTGGGCAGGACGTCAGTCCATCGAACAGCACACATTGACACACATCAGGGCCAGTCTTCCCAGAAGCCAATTAACCTCCCCGTATGTCTTTGGTCTGTGGGAGAAAACCCAAACAACCGCAGGAAGAATGTCTAAACTCCAGGCAGACAGCAACCCAGGTACAAAACTGAACCCAGGGCCCGAGCACTGTGTGTTAACCACTGCGCCACCACGCAATCTATTTTCAATAATGTCTTAGCATTCTTCTGATAGCATCTGCATCTTTCGCGGTGGGCCTGCCTATCACCTTGTTCTTGTCCTGGGTGTCCACCTCCCCAGGAGCCATGTATTTCAGCAGCAGGGCCAGGCACTTGGGGCTGCGGTGTCGGGTGCTCAGGTGCAGAGGGGTCATCTCCTCCAGGTCCTTCTGCAGCCAGTCCGCCCTGCGAGCCAGGAGCAGCTTCATGAACCGCACACTGCCCTGCAAGACACACACAAGCCCCGGTCAGTACAGCCTGACTCCACTATACACAACACACACACTAGCCCCGGTCAGTACAGCCTGACTCCACTATACACAACACACACACTGCCCTGTCAGTACAGCCTGACTCCACTATACACAACACACACACTGCCCTGTCAGTACAGCCTGACTCCACTATATAGACTGCCTACTTTTAACAAACAGCCTTACAGATATTATTCCTTAAACTGATATAGGCTTTTCTGGACACTCCATTAAAAGCGCTTTACAGGTAATGGGGAGTCCCCTCCACCACCACCAATGTGCAGCCCCACCTGGATGACCAATAGTGCACTACTACACTCACCACACACCAGCTATCAGTGGGGAGGAGAACAGAGTGAAGCTATTTGATAGATTGGGATTATTAGTAGGTCATGACTGGTTAATGCCAGGGGAAAATTTGGCCAGGATACCCGGGTCTTTTACGTCTCACCTTAAGGATGGCACCCTTTTAAGAATACAGTGTTCCCACCACTATACTGGGGCACTGCGATCCTCACAGGCCGCAGGGTGAGCGCCCCCTACTGGTCCCACTAACACCTCTTCCAGCAGCAACCTTAAATTTTCCCAAGAGGTCTCCCATCCAGTTGCTGACCAGGCTCACACCTGCTGAGCTTCTGTGGGCTGCCAGTTTTCAGTTGCAGGGTGATGTAGCTGCTGCTATACAATAATGGGCTGATTAAAATGATAAAAAATTGTTTATTTAGAGTTGTACTGTAAAGAGATAGCAGGTGGTGATGTTGGGTTTTGCACATCAGCATCACAAGTCTGAAGCTAGAGTTATTAATAGCTTCAATATCAGGTTTGCTAAGCTCCAAACAACTTTGATTCTGGGCTTAAGTGCAATGCTGTCGGGCTCTTTCATTCTTGTTTCATGTTTCATTTCAAACATGAAAGGTCAGGTCATTCATGAATTCTTTCAATTACGTACTACTGCCTCTTACAAACTTTTCCCTGTCTGATGCGGATAACCTTATACACACTTCTGCTCCAGAACTGACAACTGTAACTTGTTAATGTTTTGATGTGTACACTTTTATAGGCTACAAGATTTAATAAGTTCTGAACCAGCTGGCCAGTGGATTTCCTAATATCGTTCCAGAAAAATCTAGATGCATTCCTTGGTTCTACTAGAGGCTATGAATGAAGACAATAAGATGAACCATATTGTGTTTTCTCATGTGGTACCTCTCTGTGATTACCGAATTCTATTCATCCATTTTCTAACCATTTGATCCAAAACAGTGTTGGGGTAGAGCCAGTGCCCTATCCCAGCAAGCAATGGGCACAAGACAGGATACACCCTAGACAGGAACCCAGCCCGTTTCAGGGCACACACAAACACACCAACTTTCCCTGTAGACAACTACCCTACCAGTATGTCTTTGGATTGTGGGAAGAAACAGGAGAACCGAAGGAAACCCACAGGAACACAGGGAGAGCATACAAACTCTACGCAGACAGCAACACGGGTCTGGAATGGAACCCAGGACCCCAGCATTGTGACAGTGTACCTACCCGGCTAATTTAAATCCTAGTATATTTGAAGAGATTACTAGTTCATGTTTGGATTGATTTTATAATTAACTTTCAACTCATAAGATTTTTCCTAGTAAAGATACACTCTTCTCTTACATAGATCAGAGTTCCAGTCTCACTCCATAATAGCTGCAACTCAGAGCACCTGCTTGACCCTTAGAAAAATGATATTTTCAGGTGTAATTTTGAGGAATTGTAATTTTAAGGAGTTTGTAATCTCAGCTTCATTTCCAAAGTTGGGGGGCTTTGTTGTTTAATCAGGTGGAAGTAATTTAGGGTAAAACAGCCAAATCAAAAACAATTTTCTACACAGAAGTCAGAAACGGGGTTTGATTCAGGTGGAAATTGGGTTTTAGTCTGAAAAAAATATATCTGTTATGGCTAAAGCCATCCTTCAAATGGAATTCAAGGTTACAAAGCACTTTTATTTTTGCCGATATTAACTGGATATAGGAAAAAGAAAACTTTACTCCAGAAGCTACAGAGAACAGAATGTCAACAGCTTGCTGTGTGAATGGGTACTCTTGAAGGTGTCATTGCAAATGTGCACTTGTTCTCAATTTTATTTACCCGTTTAAATAAAGGATTCAATCAAATAAAAGGATTGACTTGGCTGTTACCTCCCGCTCAGACACAAGGTCATAAAACAAAAAGCTGGGAAGAGAAACACAAATCTTAGTGCTGTATAATTTCAAATTTGAAGGATCACCACAACAAAGATCGGAGAAAAAATAAATATTAATTGCACTTGCTGAACGCCACTTAAAACAAGGTTGCGTTGCATAAAGGCTTTGCTGCTGTCGCAAAAACCTGTCTGCATTACATTGGTCTGAGTGCGATCCAAAATCTGAAGGATATTTTTTAAAAAAAATATTTCACAAGCTCACAAAGTTTATATTTAATCTCTTCTGCTGTATTTTAGAAAAGAAAAGAACTGCACTTTAGGTTAGTTCAAAATATACAGGGAAAATATTAAAGTTACGTCTAAGTACAATGACAAGTGATGGAGGGATTGGCTGGTTTATCCTGGTAAAGCAATCTCTGTGCTATTACAAACAGTGCAGCTAGTTCAGTATCAATCCTTTAGTGCAGCACCAGTGCTGAGACACCAGTCTGGCTCAGGGCCTTTGCACACTTGCTCTGAGGACAGAGAGACAGCTGGTAATTGCTGGTTTCCTCATGAACTCCCTGCTCTTATTGACAGCCTGCCCACACGGGCCTCTGGAAGAGTGTGGAGGCAGAAATCCCTAGAAGGAACCCCCTCTCCTCTACACAAAGATATCGGCAGGGGTGATCGGCGCACGGGAAGCAGACAGCGGCGGCGGTGTGGAATCGATTTTCCTGGACATGGGAGCCCATGCTGGTCCTCTCTGGGTCTGCGACGGAACAGGGCGGGGTTACAAGCTGGGGGTGGGGTGTGGCATCCGCCTGAAGCGGCTCAGATGGGGAGGTGGGATGGCTCTGTCCCTTCAATGCTTTTCTGGATGAGAATGACAGCAGATAGATGGATATAGAAGGGACCGCCAGATGAATGAAAAAAGTGGATCATAGTAACAATGCCAGGCTGTGTGCTGCCTCATTTATAACCTGAACAGTAGATTGACTCCTCAAGTACGTCATCCTACAGTTGGCAGAAAGACTGCACACGCTATTCCAGCCAACGTTTTCCACCTATTTTAAGAGCACGAGTATATAACAGTAGATTTGTCCACGTGCAGTTAAAGCATGAGGTACTACAGTAGAAAAGTCAACTGAGTGCATCACTGATACAGCCTAATTTGGCATCTGCTCTTCCATTCGAGCACAGTGAGGTATTGTGTAGGGAGAGAGAGGTGAAGAGGCTGGAACTACCCCATCCCAGTTACCAGTTCTCAGATCATAGCTAGCATGTCCTTAAAAGATTTTGCATTTTGGCTGGTCGCCGAGGCACATAACATTTTCATAAATGGATACATTATCCACTGGAAGGACTAATGAACAATAAAGGAACCGATTGTGCCGCAATCCACAGATAGCGCAGATCGGAAGATCCTGTGTTCACACATCTGAGAGCTATTTCATTACTCCTGCTTTACAGCAGCTGCCGGTTTCATTACAGCAAAAGAGGATCCAGGCACCCTTTCCAATGATCTCCCATTCCGAGTCACTCTAGTTTCTCTTGATTCGAACCATGGAATCTCTACAGAACAACAGCTTGATCTTTATTGAGGGTTAAAAACTGAATGGCAGGGGAACATTCCCTGTGAATCTTATGTAGGGGAGGACTTTACCACAACTACATACTTACAGTATCTCCAGAATCCGATGTTAGCCACAGGTTAACGTACATATGGGTTTTTGTTTTTGGGGAAGCTTTTTATTAAAAAGAATGTAACAAATTAAAACCTCTCTCATTTGTTTCCCTTAAGGATTTTTTTTCACGTAATCCTTTAATTAACAATGATGGCCTGAAAGCCCATTTATGCAGTAGGAAAGCTACGACTGCAATTTAAGTGAATTAACTTGCTCAAGAGCAGTGACCCCAATGGGATTTGAACTCGCAACTCCCTGGAGTACAGGGCTGGAGTTATCATGAAAGTTGATTACTTTTGGATGGAAAAGCATCAGGACTTCAAATTCATCATAAATGAAAAGAGACAAAACATAGAATAGTCAAGAAATATATAATAATAATTATATAATGATAATATAATAATTGGAACAATAAGCCAAGGTCTCTGAGTTTCCAGCCTTTCCTTTTTAACTGTTGTTGTACAATATCGCATTGGACAAGAAGAGACCTCTTTTAGTAGAGATTTTTTTTTTTAATTTCTTATACTTGGCTTTTCTTTGCAACCCTGGGGAGAAATTGGACAGACCAAACTGTTTCTGATAAGCAGAACAGAAGACCCAGAAAACAGATGTGCCAGGGAGCAGAGGCAGGAAAGAAAAGGCATCAGAGACAGAGAATGTAGCCATATCTGGGCTAACAACCCCAAGCTGAACTGCATTGAAAACATTTTAGTCATTTCAAAGAAGCAGCAAAGAAAAAGTTGGTTACCGGTTAAGGTAGAGTGGTAAAGAGGGAGGTGGTGTCCATTCAGCAAAGGAGAGACAGAGCTGTGTAAAAGGCAGAGACTGTGGTAGAGGTGGGGAAAGGGGGTGGAGGTCCAGACAGAGGGAGAGAGAACGGAAGAGATATCCAGTTGGAGAGACAGAGAGAGCCGTGTGTGTGCGGTGAGCGGGGTGGGAGGGGTGGGGGCTGTGTGTCCAGTCAGGATGAATCAGGCTGCTGTCTGACAGCCTCCCCTGCCCTGACAGGGCAAGAGCCGCCCCTGCCTCCCTATTCTCAATCCAATTAGAGCACTAATCCCTCAGTTCGTCGCTCCGCGCCTCAGCACGGCAGCTATTGATCAGTTGTCAGCGCGGTTCAC